TATTACATAAAAAAAATGCAACAACTTTGGAAGACTGGTATAGTTTTAAATGAAGCAAGGCATCAAAAGAGATAAGAAAGCATATTCAGCATGTCATTACAGGACACATATACACATAAATATTATAAGAGGAGAACTGATTTAGTAGCAAAAAATTAGAAGTCTGCTACCACTTTTTCTGATTCATGCATTTTATTAGATATCCTCTACTTCCCACCTCTGCCTCATATCATTTTAAATCCTACAAGCAGTGTAACCACTCTATGCACCTGATGAGCCCACAAAAGCTTATGTTTTTTTTAAAAAAATGTGTTAGTTGGAAAAGATGCTACTAGGTTCATCCTGATTTTTCAGGATATCCCTTTTCTGGTTTGCAATGTTTCAGAGAAGAATACACATGTACTCTTTCCCCACCACCACCAAATATATATATATTCAGAATGTGTACCTAAATTCTGATTTCACTGTTTATATGATTCCTTGGCTGGGTTTGGCTTGGAAGAAGAAACCCAGCTATTTTTTTTCTTTGTTTTGATATGAGCTTCATGGCCAGATTAGAAAGGAGTGAGCAATTTTTAAAGCTTCTCTGAGCTTTCCATGTTTTATTGCAGCAAAAAAAATAATTCAAACTTAGTTTTATAATCACAGATATGGATATGGAAAATGAGAAATACACATCTTTATTTCAGATTAACAATAATGAAGTGACAAAAGATAATTTTGCCAAGACAGGGAAAATATCTTTATTCTGGAAATCATAAATTGGTGAATTATACTGTTCTATTCCTAGCCTAATGGACCTCTTTAACTTATTTCTGACTATCAGTGCAAGAGAGATAAATATAGAAAATTATATACTGACCAAATGTACCAAAGGTGCTTTTCAAAAGGCATCTGGACTTTCTTTGTTTTTTCCTTGAAAACATTTTGCTTCTCATCCAAGAAGCTTCTTCAGTCCTGACTTCAAAGATACTTTTGAAAAGCATCTTTGAGACAACCAGGTCCTGGATGATTGAAAATTTCCGTAGACATACTTACCAAATGTTTTTCTACCTGCTATGTGTATTGCCACACTAATTTGGATGTTTTGAACATAATTCTCCAACTTGAAGAACTATTTCAACTATGTCTCTATAGTTTAAATATCTGTAAGTCCTTCCATTTGGTAAATTGTATTTATCTGAAAGATGTGTTAAAGGCATATCAATTGAATCTAATTTTTAATGTATCTATGATTATGGGGATAAATAATTTGAATTCCTATCCCTATACAGGAGTAAAACCAGGCCATCCTATAAGGTCCTTTATCATTTATTCTGACTATGGGTGCAGATCATGGACTAAATGAAAGAATGAGGAGGGGCAGGTTCTTGATTCAAGTTAAAGAAACTTGAATAATATTATGCTTATTTACTATCAAATCCATTGAAAACAGAATCCTGAAAATATTAATTATTGGAATTTGGTGAGATAGCAATATTAAAGTATATTTTGCTAAATCTGGTTTTGTGATTTATAAGTTCCCCTTCAAAATCAGCAGGTCTTCAAAGCACCATGAATATTCATCTTTAGATATTCCAATAGCAAAGAATTACCCAAGTGTATTTCAGACAAGTCGATTCTTCTGTGGTTTTGTTTGCAATTCTTAAAAATATAGCTTAATGGGGGAAAATTAGATCTAACTCAAAAAGACCAGGTAACTATGATAAAAATTGTATTATTTTTCTATGCATTATCATATTGAATAGTTGAAAAACAACTCTTTAGATGGCAAAGAAAAATGGAAAAAAAATCTACAGAAAGTTTATTTATTCCCATATGTTGATAGGGTATAGAGGATATCAAACCTGAAGGTTTTTTTATGAAGCCTATCTGTCATAATGTTTAATTTAATTAAATAAAGAAAAAATATACAAGTCATGGATGCAAATAGAGAATTATGAATAATTAATTTGAATATATTATTTTTACTGAGAATGGAATATACAATATTACAGAATATTATAAAAAAATAGAAATAATAAAAATGTTTCTCGACCTTTGTTTCTCTTTTCTTTGCTTACTATTGTTATTTGCCACTGTGAGTTTAATAATAAATTAAATAATTTCTTTAAAGAACATAAAATTTGCAATCATTATCATAAATCCTAAGTACTCTTATACCCTTGTTTCATAAGTACATTTTTATGAAAGCCCTAGTGAGACAAGCACCATCTGAACTAGGCAAAATGCTACCTAGCACTGAACAGAAACCAGTGTTTTATCCGACTTTACAGGCAAAACAAAAATTCTGTTTTGTATATTGTGAGCAGATCCCCTCTGGAACCAGTTCTATGGGAGCTTATCTTAATCTGTTAAATATATTGTATTCACTAATAAAGAGGAAGGTTTCTGGAGATATTGATGAGTACTTTCTTTTCATCATTATTTGAAGTAGTCCATAATTAAGCCCTGATATTGACAATACATTTCAAAAATTCCAAAGTGGAGCCTTACTTTAAATTAAGGTCTGACTGAGACTGTAAATTTGAAATGACACAATTGAAATTGTTAGAGTCATGTATTTATAAAACCATATTAAATTAAGCTAGAAAAGTGCAATGTCTGTCATCATGTCATAAAAATATGTGTTTTTCTCTCAGATTTGTTGTACCAAAGCCCAGCCTATATTGCTGCAGAAGGAAGCTGTTTTCAATCAGTTACAAGGAGCAATCCAATTACTAGATGCTTTAGTGCAGTAACTGACTCCAGCCTAATTTAATTTCTTTGGGTCTCTAAAGATCAATTGATCTGATTTGCTTCCCTCCCTAAAGGCTAGTTAGGGGAAAAAAACAGACTTAAATATCTGGAAATTAAATATGAAGCTTTGTCCCACATTCACACTATTTAGGTCAACCCAAAGTCTCACTGCTTATGATTAATAAGAGTTCTGCGGGATATTTTGCATAGCAAAGAAAACAAGCTAATGTTCCAAACAGTTGATAACAAAAAAGGGGTTTTGCCTTAGGAAACTTATTCATAAAATTGATTTTTCTGATTACAAGGGCAACTTAAATATCTAGTTTTCAAGGTGGGGAGTCAATCTGCTAACAATCTTTGCTAAGTCATATAAATGAAATTGATAATATTGCTTGTTTCCAAAAGTAGCATTGGAGACCTTATTAACTCTGCAGGCTGTCCTCAAGGTCCATCATTCAAGGAATGTATTGACGATGTAATCCATTGCTTTTACTCGATATAATATATGCATAGAAAAGATCTTTCCTACTGTGTTCTATTTGTTAGATTTATGGATCATTTTTCAGTAAAATCTATTTTAGCTGAATTTTAAAATTAAATATGATAAATTTCACTCATCACAGGGAGATTGAAATAATCAATACGTGAGTGTTTTGAAGTCAATAGCTTTTTTTTAATTTATAGCTTTAGCTTATAGAAACCATTTGATATTTTCAGGAAAAAGTTTTTATAAGGTTTCTTCCTTTTCCATATCTACTGTACATGTATTAATGGCAAACAGTATTTTAAATTCTGTGACTTAGTCTTGGACTGTAAATAAATAAATAATCTATGTTAGATTTATTTCAGAGTAATTATTGGGAATTTATTTGTAGTCTGCATTTAAAAACAATTTTTATGTTACTGTCTCTAAAACTATTTACTCATTGAAGATTTTGGAAAAAATAGCAAGGCTTCTAAGCTGGTTGCTTATCTTCATTAGAAGCTAAAGGACGTAGGTGAAAGCAATTCTATTTATGTAGTCACTGAAATAAAGATCTTGACTGGTCTGTTTATGTAAAGCAGAAACAATTGTTTTAAAGAATCTGAAATACTATTCAATGATCCAAAAATGTGGTTCATAAAAAGAAGACTATATTTTAAATATATTATAGATTTTAAAGAATGCTCATATAAGATTTTGTGATACTTTTGGCTGCAACTGAAAACATTACCTTATAAGATTTGGTTTTGTTCTATTATTGTCATGTTTAAAATCTACACAATAAAAGGAACAATCACTGCTTCTTAGCTAATTTCTAGATTCAATTAAGACATCAAGAATTATGAACTTTTTATGAATGTGCCTGCTGCAGAAGGATTCAACAATATTTAAGAAAAGTTTATCTAAGCACAGATTCAAAGTTGCTGCATGAATTTACCCCTTTTATTTTTAAAGAAAGCTACTATTTTACTTCTCTTCAAAACAGCTTCTGGAACTGTGTTAAATTTAAATTTAGAATTAAATTTAGAAGTGATTGCCTGTGAAGGCTCCTAGATTGGGAGTGGAAGGCAGAAGCAGAAACAGTATGCTCCATCCCATAGTTGGGTAAACCAGGTTTCTCTGATAAACCGGTTTCACTGAAAAACACAGCTTCTGGAAGTTTAGTAGCTCAATGTTTTGGGGTAGGTGCTATGCATATAAAGCATCTTCTTTTCATGCCTCTAGTTTGTTATCTGAAAAAATTTTTACATGAGTACAATACATGAGTGGAAGAATGGAAGCCTCTTGCAGCTTCTGAAATGGCTAGAAGATATAAAATAGCAAAATGATTTATTGACTTCTTACTTCAGTCAGGAAAACTGTTTTCTCAATGACATTAAACACTTTGTTGAATCAAAGCCAAGCAATCAAAGCCGACCACAAATTGGCAACCATATTATTTAAAATATGTGATTAGCTTGCCCTCACTTGTCTTTTATTCACACATATAGATAAACAGATTACATAAAAACAGTCAAGATACATCAGTGAATACATTCTTATTGCTTTGATATAACCATGGAGGACCCCATTATAGAGAACACATACTGTCTATGCTGCTTAGAAGCAACTTTTTATCACAATTTATTGAGCACATGCATGATGTGTCACTTCTTTGAAAATGTTCCCTGAGAAAACCTGGAAGATTTATATTTATAGCCAAGGCCAGAAATGATACATGGGGACAATTTATCATTCCCTTTAGAATCTATCCATATATACAACAGATCCTTATTACCTCTCAATATCTGTGAGTCTGGAAGAATCCCTGAATCCTTTAGCAAAAGGGTTGCTGTCAATTTTCAGCTTGGTTATCTAAAAACAGAAAGAGATGAGAAAGTCTTACAGCATATAGCAATGTTACTTAAACAAACCCATCTCTGGATGAATTGTGGCATATTTCATCACAGAAACTGATTAACAAATTATGTCTTCGTACTGGAATTGTAAGAAAACTTGCTCATTTGATTCATCATCCTATAGCTAGTTGCTAATTAGAGATACAATGCAGATAGTCCTCCTTACAACCACAATTGAGCCCAGAATTTATGTTGCTAACTAAAAAAATTGTTAAGTGTCTTTTGGCCTTACAATTTTTCTTGCCACATTTGTTAAGTGAATCACTGCAGTTGTTAAATTAGTAACATGATTGTTTAAGTGAGCACATTGACTTTGCTTTCCAGAAGCACATTTACAAAGGCTTCACCATTGATTTTGCTTGTCAGAAGAGTGCAAAAGATGGTCACATGACCCCCAGGCCATTGCAACCATCATAAATATTGTCAAGCATCTGAATGTAAATCACGTGACCCTGGGGCCATGCTACAATGGTCATAAGTGTGAAAAATGGTTATAAATCCCTTTTTTCAGTGCTGTGGTAACTTTAAACGGTCACTAAATGAACTGTTGTAAGTCAAGGATTACCTGTATATTCTTATTTAACTTTGTATAGCGTTGTTAACCCCTTGAAACAATTAACATTAATCATCCTGACTGAAGCAATCTGTATTTCAGTGAATCTAAATCATTCAGGAAAACAATGCAAACTGCTTTGTTCTTTAAGCCTTTGGAAAATAGCAGGCTGTTGCCCTTATAGCACGGGTGTCAAACTCGCCATGTCACATGATGTGTTGCGACATATCACAATTCTTTTTACATTGCCAGCAATCAAGTGGACACAGCTCGGTATGATGAAATCAGCCCTCAAGCCGGTAGTTTGACACCCCTGCGTTACAGGGATGATGATTGGAAATTCATTATTTTCTGCTGACTCTTTTCTTTTGATTTTACATGTTTTTGCAGGAATCAGGGTTTAATTGTTTTGTAGTTTTGTTCTGTTTTGTTTTTATAAGTTTTTATGATTGTTAACCACCTGGAACCTTATGGAATAGGGTAATATTTGGAATATACAGTAAATGCAATTTTAAAGCACATTTTGAAACAAATATTAGAGATGCATTCCAAATATAAGGAAATGTTGGAGCTGTGCATAATTTGACAATTAACTGAAAGATGTGTTCTGGATCTTCCATGAGTGTAACTCCTCTCTGCTGTTATTAAAACTCTTAATACAATTCCTAAAACACTCTGCTATCTCTGCACATATTTGAAAGATTTTTTAAAAATTATTTTTAAAGCATGTACTACCATTATGAAAAGTATTTTAGTGAAATGTTACATTTGTTTAAACTATCCAAAATAGGTTTGCTCAAAGCAAACCTAAAAGGCAGCCTTTGTTTAGGAAAAACATTCAAGCTACTTTACAGAAACCTAGAAGTTCCATCAAATATTAGTAAGGAATTGTGAAAAAGCTTAGTATATTTTTGCACCACTATAAATCAGTGTAATATAACTGAAACTCAGAGCAGTTGTTCACTACCAGAATGTGCCAGAAAACAGATCAGATTAATTGACCCAACCAACTGTTCTGCTTCACGTAGAGAAAGTCAACAAAGCGGTGGATTGAGATATCTTATTAAAACAAAAATAGAACAGAATTCTCTGGAATATAATAATATAACTTTAAGGCCACTATACAGAGAAGTAATTTCTCAGCTCCTTGGGGCTAAAAGGTAATTTTCCTAACATTGTATTTAGCCATATAAATGCAAATAATTGACTGAACTGTGTGTTTGAAAAACTAACCAGAGATGGGGATAATATGATAAATGGTGTTGTATTATCAGTATTTAGTTATTTATTAGTTAGTTATTCATTATTTGACAACTGCTATACAAATTAAGAAATTTCTATAAAAGAGATGCTAAAGCTATTGTTGAATAAGAAATTCCTATTCACTTACTGTGGAAAATTAACAGTTTTATCTTATAGTAAAATTCAGTTTGCCTTTACAAAAGGAAGCAGTTTGGTTAATGCTGTTAGATAATATTCAGATATTTTTATGAAGTCACACTTAAAAGGGAAAGGGAAAAAATCAGTTTCTATATGATTGAAGAAAGCATTTTCAAGAAAGCTTGTCAAAATGAAAGTTGACCTACAATTCAACTCTCTTGCAGTGGCTTGACTGTTTAAACAAATGTCTGACCTTTAAATCTTAAATGTGAGATAGTTTGTTGAAAGTGTAATGTATTTAGCTCTTATCTAATAACCTGAAGAAATGTAATCATCCCCTTTAAAACCAGCACAGAAAGAAATGGTAAAAAATAAGAGAGGTTCCATCTTCATTAGTCATAGATACTATGACAGAATCAATCTCCAGTATTTTCAGAGAAGTTCCACTGGGAAATTCAACAGGATTTACGTTATGTGCTTCAGAAACAAAACAGCACTTTTAAAAACTGCTATATCAATGTACATGCCTACTGTCTTGCAGAACTTGTACATGCATCAGTCAGCAGTGGCTGACTAGATTGTTTTTAACTGAAGTAGTGCATGTGTATATGTATAAAATATTTGAAAACTTCAAAAATTTTACATAATATTCATTAAAAATATATTTAACCTAGGCCAGTGGTGGCGAACTTATGGCACACGTGCCAGAGGCGGCACTTGGAGCCTTCTCTGTGGGCCCGCGTGCTGTCGCTCCAGCCCTGCCTCCCCCCACACTCCCCTCCTCACCAGCAGTCCCCTCGGAGGAGAGTTACCCCTGATCACAGCCCGTACGGAGCAGCGCAGCCAAGCACATGGCAGCAGGGACAAGACTCCACCCTTGCGCCCTGTCGCATGTAGATGATGTTGCAGGGTGCGGGTGGAGCGAATGGCTGCCATAATGCTGCTGGGCCGCCTGGGCAATGTGCTACAGCAGGGTGTGGAGGCAGTGGGTGGTCCTGCAGGCGGGTGGGGTGGGGGTATAGTGGGGCAGGGCAGGGGGACGGTTCAGGGGCAGAGGTGGAGTGGGTGGGGGGCCAGTTTTTGGGCACTCAGTCTCTAAAACGTTCACCATTACTGACCTAGGCCACAAAGATAATCAAGATATAGAAACTGAATTAATTTACATTGCCCAGAATTAGATTTCAAAATGCTATCAATATGTTCAAAATCTTCCATTCAACAATCAACCCACTGTATGTAGATGTTCAGAACTACCTTTCTCATCCTCCCACTTTTCAGGCATATTAATATTATAATTCCCAGAATTTCAAGCCATAGCATGACCAGTAGACTTCTGGGACTTATACTCATATCACATCTAAAGGAAAGCATTTTGCCAAAAAGTTCCATTCTAAACTTTAATTAGGAAAGCACAGCATAAATTAGAAAACTATCATAAGGAATGTACAGCATACATTAGAAAGCTATCATTAGGAAAGGATAGCATACAACAGGAAAGAATATATTTTTTGGTATTTAATGCATTATCATTATGGGTTGCCTAAGAGGAAGAATAAATGGATTTTACTGTTTCTTTTTTTTCTGTGGTATTAAAAAGATATTGACTGGCTTTGGATTTCTAAACTGGAGGCAAGAGCATTATATTTTGCTTTGCCTTAAATATGAACATTTATCTTAATCTTAACATAACTAGATACCGGAACTCAAACACTTGCATAATGGTGTAGCCTCGTAATGTAAGGCAGGGCACAAAGTACATATTTACTCAAGAATAAGAACTATGGTATCAAGCAGAACCTCTTCCCAGTTAAATATGGGACAACTTACTCCTGAGTATGGTATATATGTATAATGAAGCCCTATTTGTATATTGATCAGGAGATGAGTCCAGCAATAGCTGACCCGCTTGATCCAAAGAAGCACTTGGGATCGGCAGGAAGAAAGGCTGACTGCACCCATGCGGTCAGCCAGAAACTACTGATTGTCGGAGATAATGAACACAAACAAGCGGGAAGCAAAACAGCTGATCTGGGTGAGACTATTTTCCTTACCTCTCTACAAGTGAAAAAATACTGGTTCTGGAAAAAGCTCCCAAAAGCAAGAAATTCCCAAGCTTTAGGGAGGGGGAATTTTTTCTCTCTCTCTACCCCTCCCTCCTGAACTATAAGCAGTGGTTTAAGCTTTGGGGGAAATTAAAACTAACTTATAATAATATTGTGAAGACAATTGAGGGATAGAAGAAGAATATTTTGGGAAACTTTTGCATTTATAAATCTTTTTTTATTCCTTATTTGGAAACCATTGGATTTTAACTTTCTAAACTTTTTAAAGTTTGGTGGGAAAGGACATCTAGTGGCAAATGGACATCTAGTGGCAAAACTAAGAATTGCATTTAACCTTACATTTTTAACCTTATCAAGCTGTTTTGACCGGAACCCTAAAACTTGGCTAGATGCCCAGACACAGCTTATAGTTTAAACTTTTTGATGTCCTTGAAATTTATAGTCCTGGAAATTGTGGCTGGAAAAGAGAAGAATCTTTTTGGATTGCCCTTTTCTGCAGGATGGATTACAATTATAAATAAAAGTTGTTTTGAAGTCATCTGACTTCCTTGGATTACAAATACAGCTTGACCTAGAATTTTTACAAATTATTTTGACAGAATGAATAACAAGAAACTTCTACTAGCAGAACACTTTGGATTACAAATTTTGGTATATTTTTTCCTTTTTTTCCCTTTTATTTACTATTTACATCTCCTATTTGTTAGGAGCCTATTGGATTACAAATTCTGATTTACTTGGTGGATTATGAAGTATGATTAAAAGATAAAGATGACTATCCCAAACCTATCTAAAGCTGGAAAAAAAGTAACTTCTGTTCCCTCCTCTGCTTCTGCAAGTCCAGTTTATCAGAGATCAATTAATACAATGCTCCAATAAGAAAAGGCTAATAACTTCCAAAAAGAAACTCAAGCGACGCTACAAACAATTCAAGATGCAATTGCTACTCACATGGCAGCT